GTGCCGAAATAAAGTGGTCGGGGCGGAGGAGGCACTGGGCGGGCGCTGGAGCCGCGGGGGGGCGCTGAGACGGCGCGGGGGAGGGGGCGGAGCGGGGGAGGGGTGCGGTGCCGAAATAAAGTGGTCGACGCGGAGGGGGCACTGGGCGGGCGCTGGAGCCGCGAAGGGGGACGCTGAGACGGCGCGGGGGAGGGGGCGGAGCGGGGGGGGGGTGCGGTGCCGAAATAAAGTGGTCGGGGCGGAGGGGGCACTGGGCGGGCGCTGGAGCCGCGCGGGGGCGCTGAGACGGCGCGGGGGAGGGGGCGGAGCGGGGAGGGGGGTGCGGTGCCGAAATAAAATGGTCGGGGCGGAGGAGGCACTGGGCGGGCGCTGGAGCCGCGGGGGGGCGCTGAGACGGCGCGGGGGAAGGGCGGAAAATAAAGTGGTCGAGGCGGAGGGGGCACTGGGCGGGCGCTGGAGCCGCGGGGGGGCGCTGAGACGGCGCGGGGGAGGGGGCGGAGCGGGGGGGGGGTGCGGTGCCGAAATAAAGTGGTCGGGGCGGAGGGGGCACTGGGCGGGCGCTGGGGCCGCGGGAGGGCGCTGAGACGGAGGGGGCGCATGATGATGATGTGGATGATGATGATGATGATGATGTGATGATGATGATGATGATGATGATGGTGATGATGATGATGGTGATGATGGTGATGATGATGATGATTGATGATGATGATGATGATGATGATGATGATGATGATGATGATGATGATGATGATGATGATGATGATGATGATGATGATGATGATGATGATGATGATGATGATGATGATGATGATGAAGGGGGGATGCGGTGCCGAAATAAAGTGGTCGGAGCTCTAGACACCCTGTGCAAGAGAATAATGGAATCCCTAAGATTGGCATCGTGATGAGGAGATGCCCAGCATAGGGATAGGGATATGTTCCAGGCCTCCAGTACTACGGAGGATCCCGGAGGCCCGTGGGGAGCGGGCCGCGGGATCCAAGAGCAGCTTCGCGCGGGGGCGAGGGCCCCTCGCCCCGGCCGGCCGGGAGGGGGGCCACCTTTGGGAAGCCTCCGGGCCTCCCAGCACGCCTGAGTTCCGACCTCGCGACGGTCGTCAGCGGGATCTACCATGGCATCAAACCGAGAAAAACACTTTTTTGGTCTGCGGGTGGAGAGCGAGCCTCTTCCGGTTCAAAGCCAGGCGGGCCACGCAAAGCTCCAATTGGGGAGACAGAGCACAGGCGGGCGGGGCCTCGGGCGGCCGGAGGGTGGGCCGGGGTGCAGGCGGTGCCGAGGAGCTTGCACCGGAAGAGGAACGCCTCGGGCAGGAGCCGGAGGCGAAGATCGGGATGGTGAGCAAAAACCGAAAAAAAAAAAAAAAAAAAAAAAAAAACATGGAATGGACGTCCGAGCGATGGCCAGCGGAGCGGCCTCATGGTGCGGGCACCCTGGGGTCCCCAAAAGCGGCTGGGCGAAGTGCGGCATAGCAGCAGCTTTTGCTGGCGCCCGGGTATGGGGGGCCTATCCGCCCCCCCCCCCCCCGGGAAGCCGCGCTCTGCAGAGGTCACTCCCTGCCAAGGGGTCGCTCCCGAGGGTCGCCGGGAGGGCGAGATGGCGGCGGCTACGGCCTGGGCCTTAGGAGGAGGAGGAGGAGGAGGAGGAGGAGGAGGAGGAGGAGACGAGTGCAAAGGAAGGACGAGGGCAAGGAGCAGCAGCAGCAGCAGCAGGATGGTCCGCAGCAGCAGGAGGAGGAAGGTGAGCAACAGGGAGAGGGGGATGAGAAGGAGGAGGAGGAGGACGCATAACGGGAGGAACCGGATGAGGAGGGAACAGACGGAGAGAAATAGGACAGAACACCGTGAAAAGAAACAAAGAGGATCAGTGGGTATTGGGGGGTCTATATGTGTATATATGTATATAGATGTGTGTGTGTGTGGCAACGCATTGGTTGAATTCCAAAGAATGCACAGCAAGGCTTGCATTTGCATGGGCTGCACCCCATCTATTTGCACACAGTCTTCGTTTGGCGCTCCCACGTCCACCTCATGGACCGTTGCACCTGCCGGGCACGATGCACGGTGCTGGTTCGCCGTATGCTGCATGGGACGTATGCCTTCGGCGTCATACCGTACAGTGGAGACCCATGCCAAGAAACACCCTGCTTGCCTCCAGGGTGCCCTGGGTCTCTTGGGTTTCGATGGTTTTGCGATGGAAAGCGTGACGTTCCCGCACCAAAAATCAATGGACGTCCTGGGGTCTCAGGGTTGGGTTTCTTGTGGAAGGTTTCTTGTGGATCGGGCCCCAGCCCCCACTGCATACGCAATGCAAACCTAGATTCGATTGAGACGCTGCGTTCTTGCTCCACAAGCACCAGCACGAGTGCGGAGCTGGTTCTTCGTGCTCCTTCCCCCACGGCGGGGCGTTCGTTCAGGAATGCGCCTACGAGGCTTCAGACCCTGGAGGAGTCCTTGTCTGACGAGGGCGGCGGTGATATCCATGGCCACTCCACGATTGGAGTGCCTCCGGCCTCCAAACTGACCCCGGATTCCTTCTGCAATGGCTCTCTATTTTATATCGTCGCCGTATCGTTCTTAAGCTTGACGAGATTCTCCTCTCCCTGCAGCTGCCGCTGCTCATCCATCCTCGCCTGCGCCATTCCCCCTCCTCCAGGGCTCATTTCGATTCCTTCGATTCGATTCGATTCGATTTCGATGGTTTCCGATTCCGATTGGATTCGGCTTCGGATTCCGATCTTGGCTGCCATTTCTCAATGGTGGCCTACTGGCCTGCCGATTTCTGCCGATTCGATGTTTCTCGATCTGGCGGCCCATTTCCGCCGATCCGGTCCATGTCGATCGCCGACCCGTCAGCGGCACCGTAACGGGTACTCACTAACGGGTACTTTGGAACATTGCCGAAAGTTGCCACTTCAGGCCTCTTTCCGGCATTGCAGCGTTACCCACATCGGGGAGGATTGGGTTCGCCGGGTCCGTGGCCAAAGAACCCATTAGCTTGGCATCGCTCGGACGTGTGCATTTTTTTCTCGGCGACGGCCATCGAGGACCATCCTTGATCATTTGGCGAAGAAAAAACACGCACGACATCGAAACATGCATGAGGAATGGACGTCCGAGCGAAGGCGAGTGAGTGGAGCCCCCGTTGTGGAGGGGCGCTGGGCCCGCCTTCTCGACCCGATGCTGGGCCCTCCTGCTCTTAGTGGGCCCTGGAAACGACAGGGCCGTTTTTTTTTCCGGTTCCGTTTTGCCGTTTTTGTTGCCGGTTCCAACGCTGTTTTTTTACCGGTTCCTTCGCCGTTTTTTGACCGTTTCCGGCTCCGGCTCCAATCCTGGAGCCGTGTTTTTGTTGTTTCCGGTCGCCGTTTTTTGGCCGCTTCCCTTTTCAAGGGAAAGTTTTCTGGAAGCGGTGGAAAAACGGCCCTGCCGTTTCCGGGGCCCACAAAGCTCCTGCTCCTTAGGCGCCGCGTAATGGGGGGGGCATAAATGGAGGGGCGGCGAGTGTGGTCCGAGAAGGTACCCAAACAGTACCTAAACGAGCCCCCTGGGCCTCTGGTGGGGCCCGAAAGGGGCACGAAAGGGGACCTTTTCTGACCCCCCCATTTGTGACCCCCCATGAAGCCACGCCCAAGCTCCCCTCGCCTCCCCCCCCCGTGGCTGCCCCCCACCCCGCCCGGGCGCGCAGCCCCCCGTGGTCACGCTGCTCGTGGGGCCGGACCCGTGGCCCGCCCTGGAGGACCGGCCCGCCCCCCGGGGCGGCCCGTGGCCTCTCTTGGCTGATGTCGGGCGTGTCCCCCTGCCGTCGGGGCCTTGACCTAAGGAACCCTAAATAAGGAAGGAGGCCCCTTTTTCCCAATAAGTTAAATAAACTTTGATTTCCCATCGAAGCCCTACGCAAAACCGAGGGCGAACTGCAAAACAACCAAGGGACACCGAGCCCCTCCCCAACGAAAAGGGTTCCTTCCTCAGCGCCCCGACTGTACAGGGGGACTTTCGACGAAAAATATAGGGTGCCCCAAAAATACCCCCAAAGGGCCGACAAATATTCAGAAAATGGTCCCCAGGCTATTCCTGGACTATCAATTTGATCATTTTTGGTGTGTATTTTTTTATGTTTCGTCGAAAACCCCCCTGTAGGGGGACAGGCCCGACTTAACTCTTGGCCCGTCGTCAGCGTGGGAGGACCGAGGAATTGGCGTCACCCCAACATGCTTGTACTATATGCTCGTCGCCCCCCCCACAAGGGGCGACGCGCGCAACGAGAAAAATCTCATAGTATATGTGGCGGGCGCTCTCTGGCCGCACCGCTCGGGAAACGATGTACTACAAGATAGGTGTACTACATGTTCGGGTCGGACGCGCGCCTCCAAGGAGGACATATAGTATCAGTGTGCCTCTGTGCGCCCCGAGGAACAGAAGAGACGCGTGTACATACATCGGGCGATCGCAAGCATGGATCAGGGGGGCGTGGATCAGCGAGGGGTCCTCGGGGGTGGACAGGCCTCCTACCCTGACACGTCGATTAAGGGATGGGCCGTTTTCGGTTCGCGAGAGGACGCCGCAGCCGTCATTTTTGTGGGTTTAGGTCCGTCGGTTTCGGTCCCAGGCCGTTTTCACCAAGGGGAGGTCTACGAAAGGGAGGTTTGTCCACCGCCGACTCTTGGCCTGTCGGCAGCGGGGGAGGACCGAGGAACAGAAGAAACGCGTGAGCACACATCGGGCGATCGCAACCGTGGATCAGGTGGGCGTGGATCAGCGACGGGTCCCGTTTCCATGGGAAGTCGCGGATGTCCGCCGCCGAGCGAGGTGGCACCGGCCGCATTTCGGGGAGGGCACCTCCCCCGATCCATGGATCAGGCGTCTGCGCGCCGAATCCATGGATCGTTAATCCATGTGTTGCGCGCCCCCGAAGAAGCTGTCTGATTTCCGCGCGGATGTCTCGGATCGACGCCAACGCACAGAGCAGCAACGCGCCGTTCGCATTGCACTGCGCGGCGTTGTCGTTGGCTGACCGTCGAGCTGTTCCCGCTTGTAGTTCACGCGTCCTTTGACGGTCCCATTAGTCTAAAGTTCTTCATGTGGGGGGCGGGGGGCGTTTTTCATGCGGTCATACTGGGTCAGAGGATCGCGTCGAATCGCCGATACATCGGCGATGCGGCTCGATGTGGAGCCCGATTGTCTTCACGCCGATGGCGCCGACACATCGCCGACGTCGCCGGTTGCATCGCCGATGCATTGGCAGTGCGGCGCGATCTTCCGACCCCAGCTAGTCAGATCCCGTTTGGATGGCTCCAGTCTGCGCGCCTTGGGACCATCAGAAACACACCTTCAACAAGCAACATGTCCCTGGGATTGAGCCGAGAGCTCTGAGACCTGCGTCGTGAGAAGACGCGACGTCGGAGATCCGAACGTGTCCAAGCCCCAGTGCGCTGTCCGTCGTATACTTCTCGTCGAGAGCTTTTCGACAACCAAACGGTGTCTACACCTTAGGCGACGCTTAAGAAAACCTAAGTTTTCGTCCAGAGTCTCGATCATTCTTAACTTTTTAATGTAAATCCCAAGATTTTGATAGAAGTTCTGGGTTTTATTCAATTTCTGAGACTGAATTTCTTAACCCATGATTTCTTAAGCATTTCGCAGGGTGTACCTGACCGGTGGGCGCACGCTAAATCCTGGATCGGGATCGGCAAGCTACTCCTGCACTCCGCGGCCTCTGCAACGAATTATTTGAAGCCCAGCAATGTTACGTGCTTCATCACGACAGCAGTGGGCGCCTGACCCGCGTCACCGCGGCGCACGTCATGCTCACAATCTTCAACCACCGCGCCCACGACACCATTCGCAGCGAAGATGATTGGCGCAGGTGGTGGGAACAGACCTTTCAAATACAACGTCGGCAGAGCCCAGACGTGTGCGCCTGCGCACGGACGCCAACGGCAGACCAGAAAAGCATGCAACCAGGCTCCGTCGGCGACGCGGGGTGGTCCCGAGAACGGACCCAGAACGCCGACGCTTTTTACGCGCGGTCGCAAGATGCCGAACACGTAGTCGTCGGCGCTTCTTTCGCTGCCGACGAAGTGCACACGTTGGCATGGAGGCACGCCGCCGGAGAGCCAGGCAGGACCGACTGCCGCGCGATCGCCGGGGCCAGACTCGACCAGCCCCGCCGGCGCAGAGCCAGGGCCAGAGCCAGGCGGACGAAGGGGTTGAGGGTCAGGGTTACGTCGGGCCCGTCCCTCTACAGGGGGAATATTTCAAACATAGTTCAGAAAATTAGTCTGGGGACTATTTTTTGTCTAACGTTGAGCATTTGGGGGGCATGGTTTGGGTATTTCAATTTTTTCGCCCAAAATCCTCCTGTAGGGGGACACGCCCGACTTAGGGTCAGGGCCCAGGCAGGGGATTGCAGACGAGGGGAAGGCCCAGATCTCCGCTGCCCCTGGCCTCTCCAGCGCTTGCTCGTGAGGCCACGAGCTCAGTCGGGCCTGTCCCTCTACAGGGGGAATATCCAAAAGTAGTCAAAAAATAGTCTGGGAACCATTTTCTGAATATGTTTTGACCATTTTGGAGTTTGTTGGAGGTATTGTAGTGGCCTTCGGCCAGTGCCGCCGATCCGGGTCGCTCGGATACACATATTACGCGGAGACCTCACGCACGCACACGACCAAATGCACATACGGCAGACACACATACAGAGACACACTAGGCGCACGCCAGACACTAGCACGCACAGACATTCGCAGACACGCACCACACACAGACACTCGCACAGGAGCCTGTCAGGGCGTCGAGGGGGCTTCTTGGGGGCTTTTGGGGGCCCTCTTGGGGGCTCTTGGGGCCTCCTGGGGGCCTCGTGGGCTGGAAGGCTAGATTTTTTCCGCTTTTCGTCCCTCTTTTGGGTCCTCTTGGGGCCGTCTTGGGGGCCTCTTGGGCCGTCTTGGGTAGCTTTTGGGCCGCCTTGGGGCCCTCTTGGGCCGTCTTGGGACTGTCTGGGGGCCTCCTGGGCCGTCTTCGAGCGGTCTTGGAGCCTCTTGGGCCGTCTTGGAGCGTCGGAAAGCCGAAAAAAGCGACAACCCCAAAAACATGTTAAAAAAACAAATGGAAATCAACGATTTTTGCCTCTGGGGGCCCTCGTGGGAGGCCTCTTGGAGGCCTCTTCAGACGTCTTGGAAGGCTCTTGGGCCGTCTTGGGGCCATCTTGGGCGTGTTCGGGCGATCTTTCGGGGTCTCGGGACTTTCGTAGACCGTCCTAAGAGACTTTTGCGGCCGCGGCCACCCTTGTAGCGCATCCTCGAGATTAGAGCCTTCTGTAAAAGCAGCCCCCCCGCATCCGCCGGAAACTCGCACCCCCCCCCCCATCCCCCCTTCCCCGGCAGAGCCACCCCGGCAACCCCCCCAGAGGCTGAGGCTCAGCCTCGAGGCTGTAGCTGAGACTCCTTGAAACTCACACGCTGGATCGGCGGATTTTTCATTTTTCCTCGAAAATCCCCCTGTAGGGGGACACGCCCGACTGAAGCCAAGAGTGAAAGCACGTCGCTGCGCTGGTCTTCTCGGGACGCGCGCTGGCCCTCGTCCAGCGCGCGCTCGGGAGGCTCGGGAATGTAGAAAAGCCGGGCGCGCTGGCCTCCTCGGGACTTCGGGGCTCCAGAGACGGGGGTCAATGCAAACGGGGGTCAGCCAGGGCACCGGATCCTGCAGGATCCTGCAAAGACCCCCTCTGGCTGACCCGGGTTAGCGAGCCGCTCGTGGCCGCGAGGCGGCCGCGCCTTTTGGCTGACCCGGGTCTGCGAAGGCCTGCGGTGCAGTTTTTTATCCGTAAGGGCTTCGCCCCCTGCCGCCGGCCCCCTCTCTCGGAGAATGGGCCATGGAAAAGCTAAGTCATGAGGCCTTGGCGCTGTCGTGAAGCAGTATCGAAACTTCATGCGAAGCCGATTCGCAATCAGCAACACCAACTGATCACAAGAGGGGTTACCACACCTGGCGATTGGTAAGACGTGTATGGTTTACGGGCTTGGTTACCACACCTTGCGATTAAAGGGCCGAGGGAGTTCTCGCAGTTTGGGTTACCACGCCTTGCGATGGATGTGCGTGAAGGGTGGCACCGAATTTCAGAAATGTGGCAAATCCCCTGTGTTTTTGGACCCTGACCCCGCGGATCTGCGTGAGGGGTGGCACCGAATTTCAGAAATGTGGCAAATCCCATGTGTTTTTGGACCCTGACCCCGCGGATCTGCGTGAGGGGTGGCACCGAATTTCAGAAATGTGGCAAATCCCATGTGTTTTTGGACCCTGACCCCGCGGATCTGCGTGAGGGGTGGCGCCGAATTTCAGAAATGTGGCAAATCCCATGTGTTTTTGGACCCTGACCCCGCGGATCTGCGTGAGGGGTGGCACCGAATTTCAGAAATGTGGCAAATCCCATGTGTTTTTGGACCCTGACCCCGCGGATCTGCGTGAGGGGTGGCACCGAATTTCAGAAATGTGGCAAATCCCATGTGTTTTTGGACCCTGACCCCGCGGATCTGCGTGAGGGGTGTTGATTTCGAGCCCCCCCAGCAATTCAGACAACGCGCCCAGGGGGTGCTAAAAAGCCGGTTTGGGCCTCCCCCCCCCTCGCGAGGTCAATCAACTAGTTACAGTAACCAGCAATAAGTCAACTAGTTACAGTAACCAGCAAGAAGCAGAACTGTAACACTGGAAACTACAAGCTACAACTGGCACAGGAAACTGCGAACCTCGCGCCTGCAGCCTGGTGGCCCCACAAGGGGGCCGGCGGATTCCTGCATTGCAGTTTTTGGTCTCCTGCTGACCCGGGTCTGGATTGACCCGGGTCAGAAGATTCCCGACGGGACGCCCGAGGCCAGACCCCCGACGTCGTGGTTTTTACACCACGTCGCTCCGCAGGGGTCTCGAGTCCCCGGCCCCGGCCTCTCGGCCTCTCGCCACGAGCCGTGGCCGCCTCGCTCCCGGCCCGGCGAGGGCCCCCAGCGGCAGCAGCACGACGAGGCAGTGCCCGCCACGTGTTCGTGCACGGCGCGAGGGCCCCTCCTCCGCCTCCTCCTCCTCCTCCTCCTCCTCCTCCTCCTCCCTCCTCCTCCTCCTCCTCCTCCTCCTCCTCCTCCTCCTCCTCCTTCTCCCCTCCTCCTCCTCCTCCTCCTCCTCCTCCTCCTCCCCTTCTCCTCCTCTCCTCCTCCTCCTCCTCCTCCTCCTCCTTCTCCTCCTCCTCCTCTCACTTCCCCTCCTCGTCCGCCTCCTCTTCCTTCTCCTTCCTCCTCCTCTCCCCTCCTCCTCCTTCGTCCCTCGGCATCGCTCGCGGACGTGTTGTGTTCCGTGCGTTCCCGGCGAGGCCCCTCGAGGAGCATGCCCGGATCCTCTGCCACGAAAAAAACAGCACGCGCGAGGCCGGCAGTTGCCCGGGGAGTGGGCGTCCGAGCAGTGCGGGGTGGTCTGGGAGGTGCGGGGTGTATAGGGCGCGGGGCGTGCGGTCGCAGGCGCGCGGCCGTCGGGAGACGGGCGCGGCTGGAGGACGCTCCGGCGCGCGGGGCGGACGGCCTCAGCCCCCCTCCTGCTCCTCCTCCTCCTCCTCCTCCTCCTCCTCCTCCTCCTCCTCCTCCTCCTCCTCCTCCTCCTCCTCCTCCTCCTCCCCCGCCGCGCCCTGCAACCCGAGAGGGCGCGCTGCACGACACCATCCGCGGCCGCGTCCAGGAGCTGCCCGAGAGCTTCAGCTTCCCGAGCCTGCGGGAGATGTCTCTGGGATCCTGGGTCTGCACGAGCGAAATGGGCACGGAAATCGGGGGCGGAAAAGAGGGGGGTGATGACCAGGGGGGGGGTGGATATCATGGCGGGGGCCATGATATTTCCCGAGATTTCATGGCGCCCCTTCTTATTCCATTACGTATCTGGCCCCCCCATTGGGCCGCGCACATGCCGCCGGTCATGATTTGCACCCCGCCCCTCTTGGACATCCCCCTCTTGGCCGCTCCCGAGGAAAGCATGGGTACAATTCCCAACAGCAGATCCTGTTCATTTTGAGCAGGAATCGCTGTCCACGCCGCCGCGGCCTGTGTCCATTCGAGACAGAAGGCCGCCTGCCCAACAGCGGCCGCTGCCGCTGTTGGTTTGGGACAACATTCGCTGTTGGGCATTGTACCCATTACTTCCGTACCCATCTCGGGCGTCCAAACCGGAGGGGGGGCGACGACTCCCTTCTAGGCCTCCTGCATTATGAGATCGGAGTAGACGGGGTCGGAGGATCGCGCCGCATCGCCGATGCATCGCCGATGCGGCCCGGTGTGGAGAGCCCGAGCTGCTTCACGCTGACGGCGCCGATGCATCGCCCACGTCGCCGAGGCATCGCCGAGGCATCGCCGAGATATATCGGCGATGCGGCGCGATCTGCGGACCCCATCTGCTCGGACCCCATCTGGGAGGACTCGATCCTCGCAACCCCAGGCACGCTCGCGTCGGGAAGTCAATCGCAGCGGGAGGGGCTTGGCCGGTTGCGGCCTCGGGGGGCCCTCGCCGGGCCCGAGGACCGCCAAAAAGCAAGTCAGGTTGAAAAGGCGAACCCCGGGGAAGGGTCGAGACCTCGAGGAATCGACGCTTGTGAAGCATGGAGCATGGTCGGCAGTCTGGGTATGCAGGATGCAACTCTGGGAGGTCACGTGGTGCATCAGCGCTGGTGTATCCCTGGTCGAGACAACGCGCCCAGCCTGGCTGAATTCCCTTGAATCCGGTTGTATCCCGCTGGCAATCCGATCCAAGCCCAGGCATAAAATCTGGTTTGCTCTGGTTTGACGGCCCCGCAATCAGGCTTATTTCGGCAGGACGAAGCCTTCGTCGGCAATGCGAAGAACCGAGATCACCTGAAGCCGAAGTCGGGAACAGCTTGGGATAATTGTTTCGAATGCGAAAACCAGTGGGATAAGTGAGGCCCGGGGTCTGTGGGACAATGGGATGATTTCTGTGCTACGTGAAGCCAATAGGATAATGTCAGTCCTGGATCTAAGAGATGCTAAGGTTTAAGCCAAGAGGCTCAGGACCCCAGGGTTTAATCATCCCGCCGATGGCAGGAACCCGAAAAAATTCTTCTTGATAGGACTATGTGGGGTGAGGGGGGTCTGATACCCTTCTGGCACGTCCACGGCCTGTTGATATTTCAGAAGAACTTTTGTTCCGCCGCTGTAATAGCCCTGGCTAACTCCTGGGAGGTTAAGTTTTGCATCGGCGCTGGCATATCCCTGGCCGAAAAAAGAACGTGCCTAGTCTGGCTTATTCCCGTTTAATTCGGTTTAGCCGCGCTGACTATCCGATCAATCTTGGGCTTAATCTGGCTGACTACAGCTCAATGTCCGCACTCGGGCTCAGTAGCCTTTTCACGTTCGGACGAGGAGCCCCCAGGAGTTGCCTCCGAATCATAACGTTACACCCGCACCGGCGCCCTGGCCAGGCCCGTCCGGCGCCCGGGCGACTTGGTGTGCGTATACTCTTCCTGGAGGTACACGACGTCACGAACAAAATGCAGCATCGCAGGAAGCACCGAGACGTCGGGCTTCCAGAAGAAATCGGGACGGAGGTCCTTCGTCGTTTTCGGCCTCTGGGGGCCCTTACCGGGCCTCGGGGCCTTCCAAGAACGACCCGGGATGAAAAACTGGTCCCGGGGAAGTGGTCGAGAGGTCGGGGGTCCGTGTCTCCAACAAAAATCGAGGTGCCGAATGTCTAGGCACGGCTCGAGCCCCGGGCCCCGAAAGCGCAGACGGAACTGCGCGCGGTAGAACACTCTGCGGCGCTTGGGCCTCCTCAAGGCCCCCCAGGCATGCGATGCCCTGCTCTGTACCACGCGTGGCCCCGGGAAAATTCCCAAGGCTTGCCCCGAGACGGGCTCTTCTTGCCAAGCCGTTCTCTGACGGCCCCGGGGGCCGGCGAGGGCCCCCAGAGGCCGAAAATGATTGAAAGCCTTCATCCTGATTTCCTCCTCCTGCTTCTCCTCCTCCTCCTCCTCCTCCTCCTCCTCCTCCTCCTCATCATCATCATCATCATCATCATCATCATCATCATCATCATCATCATCATCATCATCATCATCATCATCATCATCATCGTTATCCTAGTTATCCTCCTCCTCCTCCTCCTCCCCCTCCTCCTCCTCCTCGCCCATGGGCTCTGGGCCGAGCCCGGGGAGGGCGTGGCGCACCGCTCCCGCGAGCCCAGATCCAGGGCAGGCTAGGCCGGGGCGCTGGCGCGGGCGCGTGCCGCGGGCGCCCTCCAGTAGATGGACCATAGATTCGAACCTTTACACATTCGAGGGAGGTTCCTCCTCCTCCTCCTCCTCCTCCTCCTCCTCCTCCTCCTCATCATCATCATCATCATCATCATCATCATCATCATCATCATCATCATCATCATCATCATCCTCCTCGCGCTCCTTCGGTCATCCGAGCGGTCCTTATCAGTCGATGGACCTCATCCTTCGAGGCAGATTCTATCATCATCATCATCATCATCATCATCATCATCATCATCATCATCATCATCATCATCATCCTTCGCGTCCTTCGCATCCTGGTCCTTATCCTCCTCATCCTGCGCTTCCTCCTCCACCCTCTCCCCCAGGTCATGGGATCTTGGATGTACGAGGGGTCGATCTGAGCACTGTGCAGAACTACCGAAACCTTGCCATTGACAGTCGATGGACAATATATTCGAACCCTTACACATTCGAGGCAGATTCTAAATCACCCCCGCGCCCCCGACATCAGTGTTGATCTCAGTAAAGGCGGTTTTTCGGGGTTCGAGTTTTTCTGTCCACTACGAACCCCCCCGTCGCAACGCCATCGATATTAATTTCGGGGGGTCTGGGGGGGAATCTCGGGCCACAGGGTTCGAATATCATGTCAACGTACGGTCCCCCGCAGGAGTGAGCAGCTTCTTCGCGCCGCGCTCGGGCCGCACTCGGCGGGCAGGCTGTCACCACCAACCACGCCCAGACCCCCTCGCGTCGCGAGAAAAAAGTCACGACGGGATGTGTTTCGCCATCGTCGGCCTCCAGGAGCCCTCGCCGGGCCTCGGGATCGTCAACAAACGACTCAGGATGACAAGCCGGTCCCGGGGAAGGGGTCCAGACCTTTGGGGGTCGACGTAGTAAACAAATCATGACGTCGGGGGTCTGCGAGCCACCCCAACCCAGCCCCAAGGCTTCAGTTTGCCCTCCATTTCCAGTGTGAGGGGGTCGGGGAACACGGGGAAAATCACAGATGGAGCCCGTGCAACCCCCCAACCCGAAATTCGGGTCTTCGAGTTGGGTTGGGGTGGTCTGGAAGGTGTAGTCAGTGTGCGATGGGCCGGCCCAGATCTGAGACTGGGCCTGGGAGTCGTTCCAGGCCGTTGTAGGATTAAGTCGGGCTTGTCCTTCTACAGGGGGAATGTTCAAAAATAGTTTAAAAAATAATATGGGACGATTTTTTGACTATTTTCCCCCTTTTTGGGGAGTATGTTTGGGGTATTTTTCATTTTTCGCCCCAAAGTCCCCCTGCAGGGGGACACGCCCGACTTAATTGTAGGACGCTCTCACAGCGTTCCGGAGCGCGGCAGCGGCGCCCGATGCATCGACAAGAGCCGCTGGATCTCAGAGGTCCCCGATGTTTCCCAGTCCGATGTTGTCCCTGCCCTGGCTGCGTCTTATGCGACGTCCGGCGAGCGGCGCACGCAGTGGCGGCTCAGGGGCAGGGAGGGCGCAGTCGTCCTCGCTGTCGTTGGCCCTGGCCTCGCGCTCCTCCCCCTGGCCGCTCCCGCTGGCTCGCGCCATGCTGCCCCCCCCCTTGCTGCGGCAGCTGCGCCCGCCATGGAGCCAACGGGCAGGTGTCCAGGTTTGGCCCAGCTTGGATCCAGGGATGGTCGTTCCAGGGCTGCATGGCCCACCCAGGACGGGATGGGGGGACGACGACAGATGCGACGACGACGACGACGACGACGACGACGACGACGATCTCCAGAAATCTGCGCCGTAGCGCCATACCACACCCACAGGGGGAGGGTGCACCGCAGAACCACACCACACCCAAGAGAGGGGGGTCCCATCGGTGATGGGAGGATGGGGCGGACCCGCTGGCATGGAGAGTCGTAGACACCAGGACCTGTCCCAAAGCTGGTCCTGGTGGAGGTGAAGATCGGCTTCCTGTAGATGCCATCTTTTCCAGCGGCCGATGGCCATCGATCGGCCTGCTGCCGAGGTCGCTGTGCCCGGCATGTATGGCGGCTTCAATGTTGAGCGCGAGGGTGGCGAGAATGATACCGACGACCACCCTGTGTTGCAGGCCACGAGCTGGCAGTTCGGGAGCCCAGGATTGCACTAAGCGTACGCCTGTGCGCACGAGTGTTCTTTCATGCAGCTTCGTTTGCGTGAATGCGAGTCGGTACGACCTGTCACGTGACCGCGACAAAGCATGCATTGGTGAACATGCACGTGCGCGTGCGCATGCTTGCGCGTGTGCAGTTCCGTGCAAATGATCATGTGCACACGCACGTGCGCGCGCAATTGATCAGTTTGGCCGGTGAGGGGTTGGGAAGGCTATGCTGCACGGCCCATGCATTTCACATGCTGCATGCCCATGTTGTTTGCACGTCCGCTATCGTGTTTGTGCTCGACATGTCTTGCCCATTTTAGAAAGCGAGAGCCCATGACCGCTAACATTTGATGTCCGCAGATGCTGCGGAACGCTGCGCTAGTATCGCGTGACCGCTGGAACACCAATGCATGAAAATGCTGGACCCAGAGTCAGCATCATCACACCATGAGCGCAATCAACATCGACATTACCACCCAGATCCAGAATACACCCCTGCGCAGAAGGCAACATCGCGCAACAGTCGCGACTGGAGCCCTAAACCTTGTCTGCCTGGGGCGCCCCTCGAGCCGCATCGATCTGTGATGGTCCCAGGGCCCGAAGACGGGCGACGACGCGCGGCGTGCAGAAAATGAGAAACGCCTGGATCTCAGCTGGCGCGCCGGCCCCGCCACGCAGCTCACCACCCACCAAACCACCCCAACCCAACCCGAAGGCCTCAATTTGCCCTCCATTTCCAGTGGGGGGGGTCGGGGAACATGGAAAAAACACATACGGAACCCGTACCCCCCCCAACCCGAAATTCGAGTCTTCGGCTTGGGTTGGGGTTGTCTGGTAGGTAGTCAGCAGCCCCGCCAGAAGTGGCGCACCCCCGCTGAGGCGGAGAGCTGGAGCCGCGTGTGCGCCGGCAGCGGGCAGCGCCACATCATCGACGCCGCCGGCGCGCGCCTCGTGGCCGAGGGCTTCGTCTGAGTGCGCGCGCCCTGGCCGTGAGCCCCCGCGAGGCTCGGGGGCGCGGCCACGTCTCACCCGCGCTGGAAGACTTCCAGGAGGGATAGAAACACGCAGACACAATGAATCGTCGATTTTCCGGGAAGTGTGGGCAAATATGGGCAGTGGGGGGGAAGACAAAAACCCCCCAAAAATATAGGCAGATATGGGGAATATCTTTATGTGTGTGTATTTATTTGTGTGTCCTGGGACCCCTTCAGTCTCACCTACGCTGATAGATTTTTGTCCGCGGGGCGTCGTCGCCTCGGCGACGCGCGAGAGGGGCCCTTGGCCCGAGAGGCCTGCGAGATGCTGGCCCACGGGGGTCAAACCCCAGCGCTGGGCTGCGCGCGTGGATTGGCCTCCCCCCCCCCCCCTTCCTCCTCCTCCTCCTCCTCCTCCTCCCTCCTCCTCCTCCTCCTCCTCCTCCTCCTCTTCCTCCTCTCCTCCCCTCCTCCTCCTCCTCCTCCTCCTCCTCCTCCTCTTCCTCCTCCTCCTCCTCCTCCTCCTCCTCCTCCTCCTCCCTCCTCCCTCCTCCCTCCTCCTCCTCCTCCTCCTCCTCCTCCTCCTCCTCCTCCTCCTCCTCTCCTCCTCCTCCTCCTCCTCCTCCTCCTCCTCCTCCTCCTCCTCCTCCTCCTCCTCCTCCTCCCCCTTCTCCCCGCGGCCCACCAACGCCGCGCACCAAAGGCCACTCTTGCCTGGGGGCTACTCCTGCGTGCCGCCGAGTCGTCACTACTCGCAGCTCCGTGCTGCCAGACAGCTGCCTTGTGCCAGGAGTGCTCGGCCAGGGGTGGGGCGAGAGCGCAGGGCACGGTTCAACCGAGCACGAGGGTGGTCTTCGGCTCCACCGCGGCCACATGCAGGAGAGGCGACGAGGAGCGGTCTCTGGAGGAGGGGGGCCCGAAGAAGGGGTCTGCAGGGCGTGTGGCTGGTGTTCTTGTCCCGCGTACGTTCGCATACTCCTCTCACCGAGCGTGTTCCACTGCTCGCAAAGTGCCTACTCGCAAACGTCCGAAAAACATGTGCTTGCCTCGATGTAATACGTTGTAAATCTCCCACGGCGGATCCAGGCCATTTGCGAGAAGCTACTCTGCGAGTAGCGGAACGCGCTTGTCCATCCTCGTTCCCCAGACAGCGCTCGCACTGAGGGTCTCCTCGCGCCTTTTCTGGGTGCTCGGATGGGGTCGGGCAGGGCCTCGCCTCCAAGGCGCCCCAAGACGGCCCCAAGAGGGCTCCAGGTGCCACTCCCGCCTCCCAGGGCACCTCCCGAGAGGCCCAACCCCTCCAGCAACCCTGGCACACGCAGGGTGTTGGTGCCCGGGCGGTGGCTGCCCGTGGGCCCCTCGCGGGCGGCCCCGTGCGCTGGGCGGGCGGGGGCAGCGCTCCGCCCGGTGCCCGAAGTGGTGGCCTCCCGCGGGCGCCGCGCGGGCGCCACGTGCAGGGCGTTGGGCCTGCCAGGGCGTCGCCTTGGCGCCCGCCCGTGGGCGCATCGTTGGGCCCGGCGTGCGCGGGTGCCGCAGCAGAGCTCGCACACTGCATCGCACGTCATGCGTGTACGTACGTACGCGCCCTCGAGGCGTGGCTGGGGGGCGCCCCGGCAACGTGGGAGGCCGAGCGTCTGTCTGTTTGTCGGTCGGTCTGTCTGTCTGTGTGTATGTGTGTCTGCAGGTGTGCATACACAACTGTACGTGCATCTGCCTCCACACATAATGTTCATATATGTGCACGTTGACACGTACCTCTACACATACATATGCACATATATATATATATATACACATACATATACATCAACAGATTCAGTTATATATTGAAATACATTTACATACACATAGACACGCGCAATTACTTTTACATATACGTGCATATGTAATCGTGAGTGTATCTGCGTGTGCATCCATATGATTACCTTGCCCCACCCCGCCCCCCTTCAAGCGCCCCCCCCCTTCCAGCGATCACTCCGATGCTCATTTTGCTCCTCTCACTCCTCCTCTTCCTCCTCCTCCTCCTCCTCCTCCTCCTCCTCCTCCTCCTCCTGTTGAACCAGTTGAACGCTGCATAGGACTCCCGCACAGTCGCAAGAGGCCTAGCAAAAATAAACAAGAGAAGGCCTTACGTCCCTTGGGGCACCTGGACGCTTCGTCCGAACACCGCACGGGAGCTGGGGTCCTTGCCTGCAATCAGCATGGCCAAGGACTTCTCAGCGGCCGAATTACGCGGGCGCTCGTGACACGGGACTTTCAGGTACCGACTGCGAGCAACCCCGAACGCCGCGCATTTCCGACACCACACCACAGTCCCAGACGGCCCCGAGCCCATCCAAAGAACGTGGGAATGGTGCGCAGACGCGGCGATGGCAGGGATGCCACGGCACGGGAAGGCGGCGAGGGCTCCTCTGGACCTCGCCTTCGTCCCGAACTCAGCACAAACAAAACTCTTACCCTCTCTACAGATCGTGTGTCCGTTGGGGTCCGCAACTAATTGGAGCTGTGGGGCATCCCTGGCGAGCCTCGTGGACTTGGGGGCCCGAAACCTCTCCACATCCTTGAGCCCAAGCCTAGAGACCTCACCCAACATCAGCCCGAGAAAACGTCCAACCTGCATTATACCAGGGGCGACCGTCTTGTACCAACTCCTCGCAGCCTCGGGCTGAGCCTGGAGCTGGGTTCCTTCTCGCGCCAAGCGGTCGGCCTCTCGATTGCCCCGCCAGGCGTAGAAGGGAAAGTTCCTAGCAACTGCATCATCACACGATAGGCGAGACTTGATCTTGCACATCTGGATGTTGTCCCATCCTATATCTCGAGCTTTGGCCAAGACCTCAACCCAGACCTCAGCAAACGCAAACCTCGAGACATCCTGGTCTGGGCCAAAGCTCCACACATCAATCAACACTTGGCAATCTGTCCAGATCTCTAAAGGGCCAGCCTCTGCTAGCTTCAGAGCCATCAAGAGAGCCCACAACTCTCCGCCGAGGCTGGTCTGCAGCGGGTGTGGGAGGGGGCCATAAAGGCTCCCCAGGATCGCGCCCTGCCGATCGACCGAGACTGCAGCCCAGCCTGCACGAGAACACCACGGCAGGCCTGGGTCAATCGCTGAGCCATCCAAGCAGATGATTCCTTCCAGAAACCCATGCCTCGGGAAAACATGCCACTGCCACTCCTGCTGTACAATCGGGCTTGGTGTGTAACTAATTGGCGGCGCCATCAGACCTCTAGTGTAAAACAGGCGCCATCTCGGGTCCGTGGCTGTGGACCCCGCATGAACGAGACGCTGAAACCCTAGGGTCTGACGGTGTCCATGGAAAGCAGGGCAGACATAGCATCGATGCTTCTTACACCCCCACGGATGCCCACAAACCTGACACTCAGCGGAGGCCGAGCGCCTGTCCAGGAAAAGGTCAACCTGGGCAGCCATGCCTCCCGACGCCACAGCGGCGAGGAGAGAGGCTTCAAGGCCTTTACCTGAGGCGCGGAAATCTTGGCACACCTCTTGCAACGGCTCTAAGCAAGGGCGAAAGGGAGCATCACTTCCTACTGCCTCATCACTGATGGTCAGGTCGCGGAGGAGCATGTCCTTCGCGCCAGCGTCCACAATCGTTTGTACAGTCTAATTCCCGTATGCTTGTAGGTCCAGACAGAGCCCAGTGTCCGTTTCCCAGCAGTCCCATCTCCTAGGTTGCCACCCAAGACGTCTCAAGGTCACCAGCGTGGCCCCCGCAGGGCCTGTGACTTTCTGCCGACCTAGTACCGCCTGACAAATACCTTCGAACACGACTTTCATTTCATCGTGCGGAGCCCAGCCCAGACGCACTGCATTAGCCCAAGACATCAGGGGGGCGGAGTTCGCAACATACGCTGGGTCGGCCTGCGGCGTCGGCGACAGCATGAAGCCAATCGTGCGACTCCTGCCCTTGGCCTGCCCGAACACCGCCTCGCCCGCCACCGAGCGCAGCTGCTGGAGGGAGAGGTCCGACACTCCAGTGACCGAGGCCCCGTAGAGTCCTGCTGGGTTGGCACTTGTGCGCACGATCCTGGTCAACTTCTTGAAGGACGATCTCAACCCTCGGAAACGGTGGGCCCTTCGCTTGAGCTTGGCCACTCGGGCCTTCTGCACGGGGTTCCTTCGGGCCTTTCCCATGGTGAAATCCACTCCAAGATTTCTCACCACCGAGGCTCCCGTGAACCCCCACCTGGCCAGGGCTCTCTCGGAACTCTGAGCCACATCTTGGTGAGTCGACACGATTTTGCCCTTAGCCCTGGCCAGAACAAGGTCCCACTCCTCCAGCTTCCTGCAGGTGAACCCGACGACGATAGGCAACATGTCACGCACAAACTTCCTGCTACCGCGAACACGAACCGTGATGTCATCAACCACGTTGCACACGCGTGCAAAGGGAAATTTGGCCATCACGCAGTCCAACATGCGGATCAACCATACTTTCAGAAGCGTCGTGGCGAACCTGCACCCTGTAACAATCGTTTGCTCTGTCATTACTGGTGCAGACGCGACCTGGCCTACCACGAGAAGACGAGGGCAGCGATATACACACAGCAACAAGCGTAGGATCTCTAACGGGAAATTCGTCATCTGGGCCGCATCGATCAAATGTCCATGCAACGCTCTCGCACGCCTGGGACAAGTCGAGGAGGCCCGTTCCTGCACAAGTGTTCGTAATCCGAGCATGCTCTGCAGCAAAGGCCTGCTCCCAGACCCCACGTTCACAAGACATGCCTGTGCTTCCGTAACAGAAGTCACGCTTATTCTTATTCTCCCATTCCCGATCTACCGATCTGGCACAGCGCCCCCATACTCGCACAGCGGTGGATAGGAGACCAATGGGCCGAAATCCGCCCTCAGGCTTCTCGAGCATTGCAACCATGATCAAGGACACCTGGGACGGGAGTCTGCCCGTGTCAAGCATCCAGTGCCACAGCAAGCCCAAGACTGTGAGGCCGCGGTCAGACAAGCACACGAGATCACGAGGGCTCAACCTGTCTGCCCCGACAGCCGTCCGCCCCTTGAAGGTCCTTGCCACCCTGCGGATGGTGTGGCAGTCAAAAGGCGGGATGTTGGCGGCTTCTTGCGGGTCGATGCCTTCCCTCTCCAGCATGAGGGACAGGCTTTTGAGCGGGTCGAGCTTCTCATTGGCAGACTCCTCGACCGCGTCCTCGACGGGCGCCGATGCCCCCCAGATCTCACTCCACTCATGCTGCAATGTCTCGACTTGCCCACCGAGCCCCATAGAAGCCCCGTCAGGTCCTGGCGCGGAAGGTTTCCATCCCACGGGCGATTTCGTGAATCGGTGGGCTTTTCCCGCTCCGTGCTCACATGCTTCTGCAACCCACCACCTCCAGGCTGTGCAGCGGGGCCTCGCAAAGGCCTGCTCCAGCAAGGAGGAGGCGAAGTAGGCTGCCTCTCTCGAATACTCATCCAGCTGCCCATCTGTCAGAGCCAGAATGCCTTCGAACGACGGGCACCAACGTCTCCAGAAGTCAACCTCTTCGTCAGGCGGCCGACTGCCCAAGATCTGAGAAATCAACACCATGCAATGCTGTGGGAAAAGACCTTCCGCCTGACGAACAATGTAGGCCAGCCCCTGAAATCTAATCGAGACCTTCCTCCACCCACGAGCCTTGGCACAGGATAGAGCATACGGGCCCCCTGATGTCTGCAGCTCCTGCACCCTGCGCAACTTCCAGCCTTGTCCCCGACCGCGATACTTCCTCTCGTCTGGGCCCTGGATCCCATGTACCGAAATGAGTTCTGTCTCCACGAGATCATAGAACATCTGGCAAACTCGATCCATTGCTTCCTGCCCACTGCGCTCGCTCGAGTGTGACGTGTCCTCTCCCCAGTGAAGAATAGTCTCCTCAATGGGCCCCCAGTCAGGCGGGGCAGGCAAGGGCAACTGCGGAGCCTGAGTTGGGAACCTCCTGGGGCCTGACATCGCCAGATACTCAGTGCGTACGAGATGTGATCGCAACCGCAAGGCAACTGGGTAATGAGGAGCAAGACATGAGCCCTGCACTCGCTCGACTCGCTCGATTGAAGGGGCAAGACCAGACGAGACCACGAAATAGTCAAGCTCCCTCCAAACATGTCCTTTCCTGCACGTGGCTACCCCGCATGCTGCAATGTGTCCTCCTACTTTGCTAACCCAGCCAAACGTTCTGAGCTGCGACGGTGGGCAGTTCCAGTCTCCGCCAACCACGAACGGTAGACGCAAAGAGCGAAGCACTTCTCCCAATCGAAACAAGATCTGCGAACCGACATCTCCCAGGGGGTCCCCTGTAGACAAGTACAGCGAGACGGCGAGGACCCCCCCTGGGATGATACTGTTAACCCATGTCATCGTGATTCCCGGGGCCGATGGCAAAGGCTTCCCTTTCCACGGAGCGGCAGACATCCCAACATGAATTGGAACAGCGATGCCTAATCCTGCTGATAAACCCCCCGCCTCAGTGATTCGGCTAGGATTAAACATGGCTGACCACGACCAGCTCTTAACCTTAGCCTCCTTCTCATCCTTGGCGGAGGGGTGCACTCCCACTTCCTGCAACAAAACAACGGCAGCGCCTGCCGCCTCCTTCTCGAAGAACTTCTGACAGCTACACCAATCTGAAGTGTTGGCCGTCAGGACCGTGTACACATCGGGCCGAGCACGCCCGTCCCTGCTGCCCTCGCATTCCTGCGTTCTGAGCCGCCTGCACGGTTGTGGGCGCCAAACCTCCGCTGCTGCCTCCTCCTCCTCCTGCAGTCGCTGCTTCACCTCCCTTTCTGCCCTTGGCCCCCCCCTTGCTGGCAGCAGCCTTAGCTGCCGCGAACAATTCCTCTGTGGATTTGGGGGGAGGCCCAGGTCTCGAGTCGGGGGAAGTGTTGCCTGCTGCTGCCGGCTGAGGTGCTGCTGCTGCTGCTGCTGCGGCTGCTGAGGCTGACTGAGCTGGCTTCTGACGCTGCTGCTGCTGCTGACCCACAGAGCCCCCAGTAGCATCGCCATCGTCACCGCCAGCAGTAAACCCCTCCTCCGTGCGACGCTTCTTTGCTGCAAGCCTCGCTTTGAGTTCTTTTTGCTGGCTAATGGCATCCTTAGCCTGCTTCGGAAAGGGCCCAAAAGCCTGCAGCGCTGCCTCCTTAAAGATCTTAGCCAGGTGCTCCTTCCTCTTCTTCGCCTCCTCCACCTCCTCAGCCGATGGCTCCCATCCCGCCTCCTCCTGCCCAAAAAGGCCGCCGTCATCCAACTGAACGCCTTCAAGACACCCGTCCATGAGAGACTCCAGGGATAGTACTGGCTTGGCTGGCTGAGGGGGCTGCTGGGGCTCCTGGGGCTGCTGGACTGTGGAGGCGAGCTCCCTGACAGCTGTGGCGTACTGCTCTTTGGCCCTCTCGAGGGCCACAAGGGCGTCGGCACTGTCCTTCTTCGCTTGCTCCAAAGACTCCTGCAAATTCGTGGCTCTGCTGACTGCACGATCCAACGCGGCCTGGCACCTCTCCATCTCCTGCTTCGCGGGCCCCCACTGCAGCTTCGGCGGCTGCTCGAGGGCACGAAGCTTCTCACGATACTTGCTGGCTGCCTCGAAGTCAGAATTGGCCTCGAGAAACTGGATGACCGAATTGAGTTCGCCCTTGGTACTCCCTGGAGTTCCAGACGAATGATAGTTAGATGCCGACCAAGTCCCAGGAGCAGAGACAAGATCCCCAACACCAGGAAGAGCAGACTGACGTGCACCCCACACTCCCTTGGCCCCCGACTGGTTATCTTGATACTCCCCGACTCCTGTCCACTGGCGCCCGCAGTGCGTGCACCACGTGTACCAGTACTTGTTCGCTTTGCACCCGCACGCCCCACAACACCAATTCCCAGCCCGAGAACCATGCGCTGGCATAGCGCGCCCCCGCACGCCGCCCGAAGGGTGAGGCCGTGGCCCCCCGCACAGCACACTTGGCTACTCGAGCCGAGGTTGGGAAGTTAAGGAGCAGGCCCCTTGAGCCAAAATGGCTACGGACCCCCCCTCCTCCTCCTCCTCCTCCTTCTCCTCCTCCTCCTCCTCCTCCTCCTCCTCCTCCTCCTCCTCCTCCTCCTCCTCCTCTCCTCCTCCTCCTCCTCTTGCTGAGCCGCATCCTCCTCATCCTCGTCCTTGTCCTCCTCTTTCCCCTCCTCTTCCTGCTGCTCCTCCTCGTCCTCCTCCTCCTCCTCCTCCTCCTCCTCCTCCTTTTTAGTCTCCTCCTCAAGGTTCTCGTTCCCGTCCTTTCCCCCCTCCTCCTCAACATACCCACCCTCCTGATCCGCATCCTCCACATCCTCAGTCTCAACCGCCAGAAGGATGGAGCGCGAGAAAGAGTAGCAGGAGGGGGGTGTTAGGAACAGGAACACAAGCGGCAGAACCAGACGGCGGGCCGAGTGGGTAGACCTTAACGGGCGGGCCTTGCGGCGGGCTCAGACGGCCAGATCGAGCGGGCGGGCCGCTGAAGTGTCAGTCCTGCATGAATCTCGAGGAATTCTCGAACGATGGCGCAATTCCCAAGGTAATCGTGAGGACGTCCAATGTGAAAGCGTGATTCCTGAGTGCCGAGGCGCGACGTCAGCAAACCCGCGAGGAAGTCCCACGCGAGAGTGCGCTTGATTGGTAAATTGCAAGGAAGTCACGCGGGAGAGCGCCACTATTCCAAAAATGCTGAGGACGTGTCCGGCGGGAACCGTTGTTGTAGCGTTTCGGGGGCCAACAGCGCATTTAGGAAACCCAAAACGTTCCCTGGTTGAAAACGAGCGAGCCGCGGGAATTTATGTCAGTTCAAATTATCCTGGCGAAGGACCCAAACTTATGAAGTTGTGGGTACCGCAATTGTGAATATCTTCTCCGGTGCAGCTCCCTATGGGGCCACGAAGCGCTGCGCTGGGCGAGGGGGGAACGCATGCAGGCGGTAGCTTTGGGTCCGTCGGTGAAGCTCCCTACGAGGCCACGAAGCGCTGCATTGGGTGGGTGAAAATATCACATTGGGCGTGGGGGACGCATGCGGGCGGTCCCATTGGGGGCTTCGGTGGAGCTCCCCATGCGGCCGCGAAGCGTTGTAAAGGGTGGGTGGGGATGCCAAATTGGGTGTGGGGGGCGCATGCGGGCGGCCCCACTGAGGGCTTCGGTGGGGCTCCCTATGGGGCCACGAAGTGGGCGGTACCACTGGGGGCTTCGGTGGAGCTCCCTATGGTGTCACGGAGCGCTGTACTGCCCGGGTGGCAATGCCAAATCGGTGTGGGGGACGCATACGGACGGTCCCACTGGGGGCTTCGGTGGGGCTCCCTATGAGGTCACGAAGCGCTGTACTAGGTGGTGACAATGCCAAGTTGGGCGCGGGGGACGCATGCGGGCGGTCCCACTGGGGGCGTCGGTGGAGCTCCCTATGGGGCCACGAAGCGCTGTCCTGGGTGGGTGAAAATGCCAAATTGGGTGTTGGGGGGGGGCGCATGCGGGCGGTCCCACTGGGGGCTTCGGTGGATCTCCCTATGGGGCCACAGA